AGCTCGAAAAATTTTTCAGCACGGCTTAGAAACTAGAAATCACGCTCTTCCAGAATCTGTCTTCCTTTTTTGAAATGATTGTCTTTATAGAATGTTAGAGCCCTTCAAATAACGGGTACATTTGACGATTTTTCCAACGAGCGCGCTCCAGGCACAGCACGCGACGCAACCGCGGGTGGTTAGCGCCGCTAGAGCGCGGGACTGTTCAACTGTGTGTAGGCGGCGCCTCCTTCAACGTTCTACTTCCCGGCCAATGTGGCCAAGGCTAAATTATTGGGAGGAAAGAGGGAGAAGCCACTCTGAGCAGAAATGGATTTAGGATTTGAGCCGTGCATTTGAGTGGCAGCGTCGCTGCCTCCTTCTCCTAATCTAAAACTAACATTTTTGTTGTAAAACCGGATATGGAAAGGTTTAAAACGGGGGTCGTATCGGGGTCTGCATTATGGAGGGGGGTCGTAAAGAGGCGGACATTTCCTCGACACGATTTTCACCCTGCTCCTAGGCTCCTTGTGACTCAATTCTTCCGTGCACCGCTTAACGTGAGGGTACTAGGCTATAGAATAGTAAGGAGAAGCTGGAGAAAACTGGCGAAATTTTATTATTGTTATTCTCTAAAATGGTAACCCTGAAATTGGTAGGACTTGGGAAAAACCTGTCATGGACTACTAGTCGCTGCTGCTGCTTTATGCCCCCCTCTGAGGCATTCTGAGCAGAACAACGGAGAGCAGCCATATAGGGTTTTACCAGTTTGGGGAAGGCCTTATTCAGTGTTTGATATCTGCAAGAACATGCATTTTATGGATCGCATCTCCTTTCGCTTTCATGCTATGGAAATTTTTTATCCTTGCCAGGAATTTTTTAAGAAATAAATTGATAAAATTGATTTTTGGGATGTACACAGTTTCGTCTGAAAGAGTGAAATTGGAGTTGGAGGGAGCCATTGTATGCTACTCTGCCACCCAGTGATAAGGACCAAGGTGAGGCTAAGGATATCTCTATCGTAAGCATACTAAGTTTGATAGCACACAATGTTCAAAGTTAAATTTATGATAGCGTGAAATGCCTTGCATCGTCGACATCTAATCCATATTTTTTGCTTATTTTGAGGAGTCTATTCATATTCGAGCTCCACCCCGCCAACCATAGACCTCTGCCCCTCGACCTAGGCAAAAAATGCGGCTCAGGATCGCTTTCCGAGCCAATCAAGGGTGGTTCAGCTGATCCTATCAATAACATTCTTTGGCTAGGGTCTTATCGAAGCTTTTTTCCTCAGTGTTATCAACGTCCTTGTCATGATCCTTATCGTTAAAGGCGCAGAGCAGAATACGGTGGCCCCGTCCAACTCGATTTTCACCCTCTGAAGTTCCGCGTAAAACAATGAGGTGGTTCGCTAATGCGTCAGCTGGGAAAATGTTTCTGAGAAAACGCGTGGGCACTAACACACACCATGTACCTCCCGAACTGTCAATATTTTTGCTACTGAGACCTTTATTGTCGGGGGGCGGGGGGGTTACTCACTAATCTACAAAAGATAACATAATCTCTAAAATGACATACGCTTTTGGCGAAGACGCCATTCGGCACCAAATTGGGACCAAATTGATGCCTCACAACATCGAGGGACGCTCCAAATCTAGCTTCCCTCCAAACTCCAAAATTTCCAAATTCAGTTCTCATTTCGCCCCGAATATTCTCCATTGATTAATTCTTAGCGAAAGTAAGTTCTAGTAAATTCTAGCAAAGTAATTTTTCGCATAAGGTTGTAAGGAATGGACATAGCTTCACCATCTGACATTCTAATGAGCTTGCTGCTTTGCGGATGCGCAATAAGCCGAGGACCAGATTTCCGCATGGCAAGTTGTACGTTTCAGGAATGGGAACGATATGACGGCAAAGAAGGGAGGAGTGAAGGCTGTGACATCCGTGTTGGACTTGATTGAAGGGCTGGAAGAGTTTTCCGGCAATGCAGCGGTGAGTCTTCTTTGGCGCTCGGATCTTTTTACAAAGGTGACTTCTTTGATTGGAACAGACATTGAATTCTTGTTTCATCAGAAGAAACTAAATTGGGCTTCGGATCAATCTAACATATGGAGAATTCATCAAAGTCGTTTCTCATGCGGCAGGTCTAAGACAGGGTCAAAATAAGTGCGCCAACGAAGTTCCGACTTAAAGGAGGAATTCACGATTAGAATGAAGGTCGAAGAAAGGGAAACTGACCTAGTTGAGGGACCCACGGACCTCCTGAGGGTGCGAACTGACGCGCAATTCGCATGGAAAAATTTGACCTCGGCGACCTATCATGCCTCAAGCTGGCCGCCGTAGTTCAATACGTGGGGCGAGTGATTATAGAGAGCGTAGTGTTGAAGAGGGCACAGCGATGAGAGTCGCATCAATGCTCAAATCAACGGGCAAGGAAGGGGTACCATTTCTCGGGTTCTGGGCCGTTTCTCATGGTTCTTCCTTCTTTCGTGTACCACTCACCATCCCTAGGTTAATTTGAAATGGGTTGCTTTTTCATCGTGAATTCGTCCTTTAAGTGCCCGTATCGACTTTTAGTAACTCTATGCATAGTTTGTAGTCCCAGGATATGATTTACACCAAGGGTGACACGGACACGCGAAGATTGACGCTCATAAGCTTCACCCTCTCGCTTTTGCAAAATCCCCACCCTTATGCGGCTCTCTGGACGGTCTGGTCAACGAGTACTGCTTCCATTCCATTACATTATGGAATTATCATGGAATTATTTGAGCTCTAACCCAGTGAAAATAATATATTGCAATCGAAACAGAAAAAAAATCGAATTTCAAAATTTGAAACAAAAATTCGCGAGGAATTTCGGAAAAATTCGTAATAACTTCCGAAAATTCTCCAAATCCCAACGACGCCCTCCTTTTCCTTCGAACATATCCTCTTTTCCCCGCGACATCCTACAAACCCAATACGACCCCATCAAAGAATTAGAAGTTATGAATAGGAAGTTGCTTATAGAACAGCAACTCTCCTATTCGCAATGCTCCTAATTCTGTACCGCCCTTTAGAGGTCCCGAGACGACTCCCACCACCCATCATCCACCCTCAGGAGGGTCGCTTCACCTGCGACTCTCTCTCATCCCGTCAGACCCTCACCATCAGCAGCTATTGGACGGCGTAAATAGGATCTATATTTCTATAAATAGCATCCTCATGAACTCCTCTCTATACGCCATTACTTGTCTAAAGTTTCTGCCAAAAGTCAAAACAAACATCAAAGACAACTTCCCACGTCGCAACTACAACCCCATCAACTTCCTCAAATACGACACCCATTCGCACTTCACTAGGAATGAAGTTTCGTCTTGTTCAGCCCCGAATACGACCCCCCCCCGCCAAACTGCAAATATGACCTGCTGTCGAACAGTTTGGACGGAATATTGGCTCTGCTTGCTTCACCTTGGTCTGTACTCCGTTCACAGCCCGACTGTGTTTAGCTTATCGCGCAGACATGAGTACTACAAGACTCTTTAGTACTAACAAGATATTTATGAGGTCATAAGTACAAGTTTTTGTTATTGCGGTTGCCAACGAGCAGCCATTTTGAAGTTGAAGTGCGTCAACCTCTCTTTAACACATCCGGAATAGGTCGCAGTTCTCTTGCAAGAAGTCTTGCACGATTTCTCATGTAACTTTACTGTTCACACAGACGTTTTTTGCTAGTTATTTTGAACATCGGCAAAATTGTGTTGCTAATCGTTGACCTGCCTCCCGTTCCTTGAAGGCAAAATAGAGAATAAGAGCGCTGCGTAGTGATGGCTGAGCTGCGAAATGAACTTAACACCTTGGAGCCCACGCAGCCCATATGTGGGCTGCAGTCTGTCGACAGCGTGGGACCTTTCAGCCCACATTTCGGAAACAAATGTCAAGTTTTTCTTTTGCTTTCTTTTCCGTTGCATTCGATAAGGATTCTGCATCATACAGTAGGATTTTCTTTTCAATTTGCTTGATAACGTTCTCAAAAAGTTTCACGGAACTTCCACGCGGCCGAAAAACGTGAAACAGGCGCGGTCTCCAACGTGTTAAAGTGAATAGGAAAGCAAGAGAAATCATAGGAAGCGCTGAAATTAAGGCCTTAACCTTAAGGTCGGATGTGGTACGACAGGGCGATCAAAGAAGACAAAACACGCGAGAGAGCACGCCGTTCGAGAGAGCACGCTGATCTCCATCAATCGCGGTGGGTGGGAAGCGTTGCAACGGGGTCGATGGTTGCAGGCCCGTAAGGATTAGCGCCCTAACCGCGCAATTTTTGCGACGAAGCTGGAGTGATCTAGGTAGGTACGGACCTTACAATTTCCCTCGCGGTATCCTTCCTACTAGTCGGGCTAATCCCGGGGTTTGCCTTCGAAGGCAAGGGTCAGGGGTTGAAGGTTTTCAAGTCACGAGCGTGTCTCCACCTCTGTGGTTGCACACCTCCTCACAATTGATGGAAAGGGTTAGTTCAGCCGCTTAATCCCGACGCCTGGCTTCAACTTTGAGGACATAAGGAAGATTCCGTGTTATTATTATTTGTTTGTTTGCGTATATGAGCACGTGCGAATGAGCCGCCCCTTTTCCAATATTTAGTACCTATCCTTGACTAATCAAAATACGGCGCTATCACAGTATACGGGGTATTTTTAGGACCAAGCCTAAAGAGGGGCAAGAGCTCCGCGGAAATGAAAACTTTTCACGCATCTTGAGTCTCTCCTCCCCCGCCTAAGGCTTAGTCCCGTTCTTAGCAAAAAGAGACATGCGTTACGCTTTTTCCAATGCACTGTCATCACAATGCCCCGTCAACTGCGATAGCGCCCGAAACACTTTATTTGACCGTACATCTGTCAGTTGTTGTCACGTAACTTTGTCGATCGTTAAAGAATTCAGGCTGAGTCATTGAAAGGGAGGACCACGAAAGCGTACTGACGACATCAACAAATGGGAGCAGTAGAAATTGCACAGAGTCGCCATCCTGGCCAATCGCAACACGAATGGAAGCCGAAATACGGCGATCTCAAGTTAAAACCAATTATAGGAACAGGGCAACATCAATGAATAAACGATATTCAGCGAAGGTGTTCGCAGCACCGCGCTACCAGGTAATTCATTCGATAGATATGTGTTTATTTGATTTGTTGCTTTACTAAAAAATCAGGTTTGAAAAATTAGAATGAGATCTCAACACTTGATTCTTCTTCACTTCAGTTTGCTTGGCGGCTGGTTTTCCTCCTCGCTCACCCCTCCACCCCTAGGGTGTTGTGACTCTTGATCTTTTACTTCATCTGTTGTTGTGCCGAGAAAAAAAAACGTAGCAGGGGTGTGGCACCGTAGGCGTTGACAAATCCGTCTGGCCCGTCCTCAACTTCCACGCCACCGCCAATGCAGTGCGACCAAGGTTTGAGTTTCGCTGGTAAGGGAGGCCTTGTCTTGGCTGGGCAGTGTTGTAGAACGCCGCAAATCTTGGATTTTTTTCACTATTTCCTGCAGCTGTGTACGTTCTGCTTCATGAATTCATTTAAAGGACGAATTCACGATGAAAAGCAACCCATTTCAAATTAACCTAGGGATGGTGAGTGGTACACGAAAGAAGGAAGAACCATGAGAAACGGCCCAGAACCCGAGAAATGGTACCCCTTCCTTGCCCGTTGATTCGAGCATTGATGCGACTCTCATCGCTGTGCCCTCTTCAACACTACGCTCTCTCAGCTATCTAATCACTCGCCACGTATTGAACTACGGCGAGTGATCAGATGATCGGTGGGCGGAGATCGCCGGACCCGCCAGCTTTGAGGCATGATAGGTCGCCGAGGTCAAATTTTTCCATGCGAATTGCGCGTCAGTTCGCACCCTCAGGAGGTCCGTGGGTCCCTCAACTAGGTCAGTTTCCCTTTCTTCGACCTTCATTCTAAATCCGTAATAAAATATTCCATTTAAACACTGCAGATATCAGTCAAGACGATTGCCATAAGCTATTACCACCTTTTCCAGAGAAGACGTGAGTCATCACCGCTCCAGTCGGACCAACAGCTGTCACCTGTCGTGACAGTGGACAGGGAAACCAGTAGTGGTGAGTAAGTTCAAGAGACTCCTAAGTGATGTTTAGCGAGAATCGTATCATCGAATTTAGTAGACGGGACTGCGTCTATGATTCGGATCGAACGACTGCGTCAGCTGATGAGCCAAGGAGACTCACACAGGCGTGGCTTTGTGCGACTTCCCGTAGCTCCTCTTCCTTCCACACCTATGCTTTCACCGCATCAGGTCAATGTGATCATCGATCGGACACTTCAAAATTTATTCCATCCCCCACCGATACCACCAATTCCACAACAAGAGTTTAGCAGTGAGTTCTTCGTTCTCTTTGGTGTTTTCTTGAGCTATTCACCCTAAAGAAATCGAATTTATCCGAGCAGTTGACGGCTTCATCGAGCGATCGAATGCTCCTATTAAATCTACATCACCGGCGCCACCACGAGAAGCTCAACCATCCGCAATCACATTCCCCAACCCCGACAGCTCCACCTTAGCGCCGTTCTTCATTTTCCGGAGACCATTTAAAGTGGACGCTGAACATTCACCGACTATTCGAAGGCCGTGGTCAACTCACTCTAAACCTGTGAGCGGAAGCAGATCTGTTTGGAGAGGAATATCGAATCGAAAGGTACCGTTGACTATAATTTTCCGATGCTTTTTTACTAAATCGTGAAATTCCAGCAAAAGCATTTCTCCACCGGCCGATCCTCAAAGAAACTCCCCCTCAGAATAAAGGGTCCCTGGGCAGGCCGTGGTTCCGCGAAAGCGATCCGAACAGGCAGCCCCTTCAGAGATGAGTTCGTTACTTATCCAAGGGACACCGAAGTGTTAACTGACATAGCCATTCCATACCGAAATCGGCTGAAAAGCAAGTTACGGTAAGTCTCAGGTCAAAGCGGAGTGTTATAGGGTGAAAAGTAGTAGTTACTTCCAGCTTCAAAGTGACTCCACAGTCGCGAATTTCTGAGATAGCGAGCCAGTGGAAGGAGCGGGCCATCCCGTGAATTTCTTCACCTCTTCGAAAACGTACGTTTGTAGACGTTTTTTGAAAGTTTTGACAAAAGCTCGATAATTTTCAGGGCTGTTATCCCTGGCCCGGAAGAAGATGCAATATATGAGGATATTCTGCATGAGGAGAGAAAACTGCTCTCTGAGAGAAATGCACAACTCCCACCAGACTACCAAGTCGACTTCGACGACACTACCGCTCCTCAACAACCACAAGCACGCCACGCCATTTTTCGTATTCACGCAACCAGAAAGACGAAGACCGGTGGCTGACAAGCCCTCAAATCAACCTGAAATTACTTTTTTTTTTTTGCTTTTTGGTTTTCCAGGTTAGCCAGAATAGTTTTACTTTAAAAGCGAGCCTTGCCATAAATATGGCTGAGTAAAGCGTTCCAGCAGTAAGCTGAACGGGTGACATATGACCTGAAGGCGCAGAACCAGAACTCAAAAGAACAGAGAAGACGAGACTGTCGCTGACAAACAAGAGCAGATTTGTCGCTTGCGCCCCGACAAGGGTCCGCGGCTATTTCATCTTAGCAACTCTACCTAGGGGGTTGGGAAGCGGGGGTTGTCTTCGTCATGAGATTTCAATTCAACATGACCACTTCATCAAGCTTCAATTTCTATCTTTCGACCTCATGTCTTATCTTGAAATAGTCGCTGGCTGTTGATCGTTATCGCTGATTCTACAACAATCACGGTGGACTGGGAGGGTTGTCCGCGGGTCCTTCGTTGCAAGTTCGTAGCGATTTGTGCCCTAACCGAGCACTTTCTAGTGGCGAGAGTGGCATGACTTCTTTATCTGCGCACCTGACAGTTTCGCTCGCGGCTGCTTCCTACTAAAGAGTCTAATTCCGAGGGCTTGCCAGAAGTTCATCAGACGATCAAGCAAAATTGTAACTTCCTCCTCATGAGGATTTCCTGTGGTCATCACTGGCGCTGGTGGAAGGTAGAGATGCTGGTAGAGATTTGGTGCAGAAGTCAGTAAGCATTTTTTCGTGTCCACGGGTTTTCCATAAGCAGTGTGACATTGAGCATTATTTTCAAGTTTGCTCTGTTTTCCTAATTGAGATTCCTACACAAGTTATGCCGGGGAATGTTTCACCACCAGAAACTTGGTTTGGACCATTCCTGCTGACATTGCTCGCATAAGCAGACAAGCATCCAGTTAGCGAAAATTCAGAGCAAATTCTAAGTCCACTAGAAGTAGCCTTTCTGACGTTGTATGCATGTGCTGCATATATCACCTCTTTATGAATGCCATGTCGCCATGTTAGCCTAGCCACCCTTAGATTTCAACTTTTTCAAATAAACACGCTAATGAAATTTCGCGCAGCCTCTACCTACAGTAGCAAATCAACTGCAGGGATTCAATTTGCCTGAAAAGATATGACCCGAAGTTCGGATATCCAGCCTAATCGCGTAGTAGTGGCTCCTCTCCACTCTACATCACCTAAGCTCAAAAGCAAGGTTTGTGTTCAGCATCACCAAAGTAGTCACTTCGTGGACAGATGTGTGAAGTCCGCCACTGTAGAGTGCGCCACCTCTGTACATTAAAGGCAAACCCCGGGATTAGCCCGACTTGTGGGAAGGATACCGCGAGGGAAATTGTAAGGTCCGTACCTACCTAGATCACTCCAGCTTCGCCGCAAAAGTTGCGCGGTTAGGGCGCTAATCCTTACGGGCCTGCAACCATCGACCCCCGTTGCAACGCTTCCCACCCACCTCGATATCGGCGTGCTCTCTCGCGTGTTTTGTCTTCTTTGACCGCCCTGCCTCGCCATCGTTCCACATCCGACCTTTTTGAAGGTTAAGGCCTTAATTTCAGCGATCCCAAAGATTTCTCTAGCTTTCCTTTCCACTTTCAGGCCGTCCCGCAGCTCAGTCATCACTACGAAGCGCTCTTATCACCGGTTTATCCCGGGGCTTGCCTTTAAAGCACGTCACTATAACGCTAGGCGCTGAGGACTTTGATCAAATCCTACTGCTGGGTCCATCACGATTCGATATCTTACTACTACTCGGATTCTCTACCCTCTCACAGTTATTTGTCATAGCCGTGCCTGCCTCTTGGACTTCTACGCAGCGTAGTGCGAGAAGGCTCCATCTTCTGTATTTTTCGCGATTTTATTTCCTTTTTCTACACATACAGTCCACTTCTTATCCCTCCTTTCATATTTAAGTGGGATTATCACATCTTTATTGAACACGAAGTAGAGCTCACCCCGGTTGAACCAATTTGGTGCTATACAAGTGGGGTGGGCACGCCCAGCTTTTCACGCATGTCAAGTGACTGCCCTCACCCCCCACCCCCTAGATTGGCTACACTCCCCCCTGGCTCACGAATTCCCCGATTCTCGTGACAGTATAGTAGCGAGCAGCAGTCCAGTTACCGATGCCAATTGCTGTTAAAGGAATCTTGCGCGGAAAATTCTTGCACTCTTTCCTAACATGAATATGTCAGTTGTGATCACTGGAAATAGCACACAAAGTTTCACGCATGAAGATTCGGTTTCTGAAGAGAAACAAACGTACAAAAACTACACGTTATGGACCATCGAAGGACCAGGAGGCAGAGCCAGGCGAGGCATGGAAAGAAGACGGCGTTTGGCCGGCTACGTACCAGGCGACGCAATGAGAGAATCGGGTTAAAGCGCGCGATTTCGGAGAGTGGAGACAAATCGATCGATGGAATAGGATGGAGTAGAAGTGTAAGATGTGAATGCAACGAAGCAGAAGGCCAGAAAGAGCTTCTAGTGAATGCACTCCAAGAACCAAGTTTGAGCATCCCCGTCGCCAGCATTCGTGAAAGACGTCCGTGGGCAATTCGAACGCGTAGCAGCCTTTTCGAGTTTTCGAATTTCTAATCAAAACGAAAGCAATACTTCAGTTCTTTTCACTATTATCGTGGATAATGAGTCTCAAGCCAGTGATTTATGGCTGAAATAGAATCATGATTTTTCCGCGCAAGATTCCTTTAAGAATGCGCGTGCCCCAGCCCCACTCGTATAGCACTCCCATGTGATTAGAGTTAAACACCACCGTGATACCAACTGACCAATGGAAAAACAGAAGCTTCTGAGTTAGGAAGAAAAACGGGAGCTTGGAATTAGAAAGGCGTGGAAATAAAATTTGGTAACATGTGTAGAGGGCACTAAAATGGCCTATAAAAAACATAAATAAACGCTCTACGGAACCAAGTGACGGTTAATTGATTTTTTGAAAGCTCGTACATGGAACGGCTACAGATCTAGTAAGCCTTGAAATAAATCAATTCGCACCATGCACCACCTCAATTTTATTTGATCCTTGGTTTTGAATGGAGCTCGAACTGTGTGATGCTTATTGCCCTGGGACGGTAGTAAAGTGCCATAGACTGGGAGTCAAGGGTGGTGAACTACGGCCTTAAACGGCGAAAGAATGAAAGGCGAGATACAGCGAGGTGACCCTGGTGTGAACGGCGAACTTCACTACATTCTAGCAAAACACACAATGCCCATGGACTTGAACCATGCAATGCAGCGTCCATGGGCGCGACGTTTGGCACTGCACCACAAAGCATTGCTGGTTCAGTTTGAAAGAATTGTAGAATGCAAGATAATAACCTATGAGGTTTGCAAAATCTTGATGTCGCGGAGAATTGATCCCGTGACCGTTCCAGTGCCCACATGGAACGAACCCGCTGCGCCAATCGACGTGTTGCATTGGTCAGATTATTCTCGTGAAATTGTACACAGCTGAACTGCTCCCATGACCAAGGAAGGGGCTATAACGTGATCAATAAGTGGAACACTGCTGGGGACAGTTGGGACACCATACTGGCGAGAAAGTTATCAATATTATCGATAGCTCCAGTGGCTTTCTCAACACCTTCCACGAACTACCCTTCTTCTCTTCGCTCTGCGACATGGCAGGGACGCAGGGCCACACGAGGCGCGTTGCCAAAACGGCGACCGGTCAGAGGAAAGGAAAAGTGCATGGATATTGCAGAGACGGTAAACGGTGACTAAAATGTACTCAGGGTACCAGGGTCAACCGTCACGTTGAACCGATTTCAAAATTTTTACGCCCCCCCCTCTTGGAGAGTCTCCATACGACCCCCCCGCACTCATTATGTACTGTACACTGCTAAGGAAAAAGCTAACACTAGGGGAAATAAGTGCAATCTACAAAAAATCTAAAGACACTTGGCTTGAATTCAAACACAGTTAGCAGACGAGCTCTAGTTTCCTGATATCCGGTAATTTACTAATGCATAACATCGCAAAACGAACTGCCTTCATTAGTTGCTAAACAGTACTGCCCTTTAGTTCGAATGGCGCTTTGCCTGCCTTTCATGAATGGGCGTTCAGAATCACAAAAAATTTCCATTTCGATATGCAAGCGCATATCAAACGAGTGCATGGCGCATCTCAGAGCATGAGAGTATACAGCAGAAGTGTCCGATTGGAGCACGGGAGCGTTGCGCGCGCAATCTTCCCCTCGGCGCAGCGCGGGCAGCGAGAAACAGACTATTGACTTTCAAATAAGCGTAATTTTGTTCAATATCAATATTTCTTGAAACGCTAAGTAGATTTGTCATCTACAAAACTGCTTGTTTTCAGAAGGTAGCCACGATTATGCCTCATCTTCAAAACTACGTCAGTTATGGGTAGAGAACAAAGAATTCACAGAAATGCGCACTTCGTCCTTTGAAAGGTTGTAACTTTCTTCAAACAAGGAATTATGAGGAGCGGTAAGAAAAATTGGAAAGCTCAGACTGTTTTCTTTCTAAAAAGTGCTCAAGCTTTCGCAAAAACTCTTTCCTTCAAAAAATCGCCCCGTTGGACCGTTTTTTTCGCAAGACCAGGTTTTTTGGCTTTCAATGGCTATAACTTTCTTCAAATTCCACCTTCTGCGATTCTTGTCCCCCTGGGTTGAAGAAGAAGGTTAGAGCTTTCTAACAAATACTTGAACTCCTTTCAAAGTTGAAGGAGTCAAAAAATCGCCCCGTTGGACCGTTTTTGGGAAATCGCGGACCGATTTTTTGCAGAGCGCTGGTTTTTTGGCTTTAAATTGTTATAACTTTCTTCAGATTGAACTTTTTGCAGTTCTTGTCCCCCTGGATTGGAGTAGAAGGTTAGAGCTTTCCAACGAATACTTTTCTCTTTCCAAAGTTGAAGGAGTCAAAAATCGCCCCGTTGGACCGTTTTTTTTCCATGAATTTTCGGCGCTACTCTCCTGAAAACACGGGTTTCAACACTTAAACACTGACAACTCTCTTCAAACTCAAT